GGTGGGAAAGTTCATGGCTCCCTCTTGCTGGCTCCTTTTCCATTCTTCTGTCTCTTTCCACGTCTGCCACATAGATGTGATGTGGTGGATGCCATGTGGGTAGCCCAGATGAATACACTGAATGTTCTCAGGGTCCTACTTGGAGAGTGACTATCATTGGGAACCGCTATCTAGCCCAGGAGAGGGAATCCAGTCCTTCCAAGTGCTAGAACAGTTAGTTCCACGGGCCGGGAAAGAGCCACATTGAGTTGGGACACGTACAGTCTAGAAGGAGCTACCATCTCCCCTCAGGTGCCTCTATGTTTCTCCATGTATATCCCAGCTGGAAGGGTGGAAAATGGCAGTGTGCCAAGGGAGTAAGCAGGGATGTGTGTGTGTGTGTGTGTGTGTGTGTGTGTGTGTGTGTGTGTGTGTGTGTGTGTCTTGGTGTGAAGTTATGTGGCATTGCAGGGACCAGAAAACTGTCACCAGATACTTGTGGGAGACCCTAGGCTTAGGAACAAAAGTGTTACTTTATAATTCAAGACAGTGGGGAAACTGGGTTTTTAAGCAAAGTATGTATAGGATGTTATGTAGACTGCATTTTAGTAAGCTGTGTATAAAATTGTACTGACTATAATTTATCTGAAGTTACAGCTACTCACAGAAGATTTCTTAGGGGAGCGTGCATGTAAGTGAAAGCAAGAAACCCATGTCTGGTGTGTTCCAGCCAGCTTCCCTTCACCTTCCGCACAACTGGGAAAGGATGCTGTTTTAGAAGTGTTTTTGGAAAAGAGAAAGAGAACTGGGCGTGGTGGTGCACCGCTTTAATTCTAGCACTGGGAAGACAGAGGGAGGTGGATCTCTTTTAAGTTCAAGGCCAGCCTGAACTACCTAGTGAATTCCGGGTCAGCCAGGACTACATAGCGAAACCCTGTCTAAAAATACAAAGAAATAAATAAGCTAGCAAATAAATAAGAGATAGGTAGATGCTGTCCTCTAGTGGCATAATATAAAATTACAGCAAGCCCAGCCATTCTACCTCCTTCCGACAACTGTAACTCAGCTTTGTGAGAATTGTGAGTGACTAGTTATAGCCATACCACAGAGTGAACGCAGAAGCAGCTAGGCACATTAGCAGGAGACAAGTGACTAACATCTGTGAAGTGCTTACTTCATGTTGGCCTAAGACTTAAGCATTTTACACTCACTTTATCTTTACACTTATCAGTATTATCCCTATTTTATTTTTGGTGTTTTTGAGACAAGGTCTCTATGTGGCCCTGGCTGTCCTGGAACTCACTATGTAGACCAGGCTGGCCTTGAACTCACAAAGATCCACTTGCCTCTGGAACTAAAGGCGCCGCTGCCGCCACCACCACCCAACATCTTGTTAATTTTTTTTAAGTTTTTACACTTGTTTTTACAATTATTTACACACAGTTGTGTGCCACTATGCCTGTCTTATAATCCCTATTTTAAAAGACAGGATGTTAGTCAGGCAGTGGTGGCGCACGCCTTTAATCCCAGCACTGAGGAGGCAGAGGCAATTGGATCTCTGAGTTTGAGTCCAGCCTGGTCTACAAAGAGAGCTCCAGGACAGCCAGGGCTACACAGTGAAACGCTGTCTCAAAAAACAAGCAAACAAGCAAACAAACAAAAAAGATCGGTGTTGTAGAATATTATTTTAACTGGGCAAAGATGTGTTACATATGTTTCTGCTGCATTTGTTTTATATGAAATGATGTGTTACATTTGTTTATGCTGCGTTTTTATTTAACTATGTAAAGATGTGTTGCATTTGTTTCACCTTGCCTGCCTAAGGCACCTGATTGGTCGAATAAAAAGCTGTATGGCCAATAGCTAGGCAGAAGAGGATAGGTGGAGATGGTGGGCAGAGAGAATAAATAAGAGGAGAACTCTAGGCTCAAGAGAAAAAGAGAAGAAGGAGAAAAGAATGAAGGAGGAAGAGAGGGACATTTCCCCGGGGCTAGAAGCCAGGCAGCCACCAGGCAGCAGCCATGGAGACAGCAGGAAAGTAAGATATGCAGGAAGAAAGGAAGGCTAAAAGCCCCCAGGCAAAACGTAGATAAAGAGAAACAGATTAATAAGAGCTAAGACAAGGCTGAGCATTCCTAACTAATAAGTCTCTGTGCCATGGTTTGGGAGCTGGTTGGTGACCCAAAGGGAAAGCCTGGTACAGATGGGGTCTTGCTCTGTAGCCTAGACTGGCCTTCAACTCACAAATCCTTCTGCCTCAGCCTCCCGAGTGCTGGTTGTAAGCATAAACCCACACACCCAGCTTCAAGGGGACATCTACTCTGATTGAACTGAAATTGACGTGTGCAGACATTTTGATATGTGTTTCCACATCATCTCGTTTCCTTGATCCCTTTGATGTGGGTGTCTCCAGTTTGCAGGTATGAGTGCCAGGATCGAGTGCCTCCGTAAGAGAGTTCCCCCCTCTCTCTTTTCTTATCTGGGGTCCTGTGCCTGCCTCCACCTGTCATTCTATATCTATATGTGTTTGTGTGGGTCTCCTTACAATTAAGGGAATTAAGGACCTTGACGATATGGGAAGGGGGAGGGGGGCTTCGTGCCGTCTAACCAAGGTCACAGTCCGAGCACAGCATGCCATCTGCCATGAATAGACTGCAGTAGGAGGGACTGGTGGGTGGACGGAGCTGCTAGGCTGCCATCAATGCTGGGAAACAGAGCAGCTGGTTCCCGGGGAGAGTCCAGGGAGCAGGTGAAAAGCTCTGGCGGGCTGTTTGGGAACTAAGTCCTGGTGGCCGTGGGGCTGCTTTTCAGGGGTTCCCACAGAGTGCAATCAGTTAGGATACCTTCTCCATAGAGAAAAGAGCCCATGAATGTAAACCAGGTTCTCTGGGGTGGGGTGTGTGGGGGGGGATCGGAAGTCAGAGCAGCAGTCTGCTGACTGCGGAAGGGGGAGGTTCCAGCAGGGAATCCAGCTACTCCACGCTTCTGCATTTCACATTTGGGGAATTTCAAATGTTTAGCTGGGCGAGGCATAAAGACAAGGCTAGGAAGTCCCAGGGCAGTGGCCACCGGCCTGACGGTTTCCCAGGCTCAGGGCTTTGAGGCCTCTGTCTGGAGCTTTAGGGACTGGAGGAAAACAGACCCAAGCTTTAAAAATCAAGGATAAGCCCTTTCAGCTGTATGGGGAAGGGATCGGCTGTGACTGGTCGTCAAGGACCAATGTCCTGCCAACAATGGCCTTCAACTCGGGAACCTGGGATCTCTGGAAAGGCCAGTATGTGTATGTGTATGGTTGTATATGTGTGTGTGTGTGTGTGTGTGTGTGTGTGTGTGTGTGTGTGTGGTCTTTGAACATTGTTAGACTGCAAATTTCCTATAGAAACTCAATGCTGAGAGCAGAGGGTGAATTCTGGGGACACTGGACATGAGTGGGTCTGGGACCAGAGGCCCCTCCAGCTGGCCCTGCTTGGCAGTAAAGTATCCAAAAAAAGGAAGCTGGCCTACAAGATGACCCTCCCCTTGCTCCAAAACACCAGGAGCACTTCATTCTTTCTAGGATGAGCACGGACTCTTCACTCCCCACCCTGTGACTATAAGGCCATCTCTGATTCCTTCACCCAAGCATGTTCTTTTTTTTTATTTTTTCCTATTCTACCCACTCACAAATTCTCCTCCTCCTCCTTTAAAGAGTTGTTTTATCCAGGCTGTGGTGGCACATGCCTTTAATCCCAGCACTCAGAAGGCAGAGGCAGGTGGATCTCTGTGTGTTTGAGGCCAGCCTGGTCTATGAAAGTGAGTTTCAGGACAGCCAGGGCTACACAGAGAAACCCTGTCTCAAAAAAAAAAAAAAAAGGAACCAAGTGTCTTCTATCAGGACATGAAAGAGCAAGGCCTTTCTTTTTTGGGGGGAAGGGGTCGAGACAAGGTTTCTCTGTGTAGTTTTGGTGCCTGTTCTGGAACTCACTCTATAGATGAGGCTGGCCTTGAACTCATAGAGGTCCACCTGGCTCTGCCTCCCCAGTGCTGGGATTAAAGGTGTGCCACCACCGCCCGGCTCAAGGCCTTTTCTTACAACCACGGTGTCACAGAGGACATACCACAACAGGCAGGCTAACATGAGGAAGTGCACAGCAGACTGACTTAATGAAACTTTTATGAAATTGTGGAGAAAATGGTTGGACAAGAAGGGCAACTGTAAGCTCTCCATCCCAGTGACGAACCACCTGAGATATACAACTCACTATGAGGAAAAGGTGGTGAGGTCTCGGTCCATGATCATTTGCCCTGTTGCTTTGGGGCCTGCAGAAGCATGGTGCGAACATGAGGAGGAGGGCTCGCCTCAGTGTAGGGCAACAGAGAATGAGAGGAGAGGGGGTCAGAGTCCCGACGCCCTCTCCAAGGGCACAACCCTAATGACCCAACTTCCCCAAGTCCCTACATCCAAAAGGGTCCATCACCTCCCAATAGTATGGCAGGCTAGCAATCAAGCCTTCAATGTATAAGCCCTTTGGGGGACAGTCAAGATCCAAAATATATTGGTAATAAGTGGGGGAGGGCTAGCAAGGCCTCTCTTTGGATTCTTCTGGCTCACTCTGCCCTACCACAGGCATGAAGCAAGATTCTTTGGAATAAGGATCTGATAGCCTAGTGTCAGGAGAGGTAGGGCAGAGGGTCGGCCTTTCTGGGTCTTATGACTTGCTTTAGGGGAAAGGGCTTCCAGCTTTCTATGACTTGAGGGAGAAATGGCAGGAGCGAGGAGGATGGGATAAGTTTGGGACACTTCTTGCTTCCGAGGTCCTTCCCATTTTCAGCTCAGTGTGCTCAGCATGCTTAAGGTGCCACCTGCTGGTGTACTGTAGAAGTACATTTGATATCAGTATTGTGTTTACGCGGTTAATGTTCCTTCTGGGGGGTGCAGTCATGTGATTTTTAGCTTTCCAAGAAAATTATTTGTGTGTGCGTTTATGCATATATGTCTTAGGGTTTCTATTACTGTAAAGAGACACCATGACCACAGCAACTCTTATAAAGGAAAACATTTAATTGGGGTGGCTTACAGTTCAGAGGTTTAGTCCATTATCTTCATGGTGGGTGGTATGCAGGCAGACATGGCGCTGGAGAAGGAGCTGAGAATCTTACATCTTGATCTGCAGGGAACAGGAAGTGAACTGAGTGTCACACTGTGCGTAGCTTGAGCACAGAAGACCTCCAAATGCACCCCCACAGTGACACGCTCCCTCCAACCTCCACACCTCTTAATAGTGCCACTCCCTTTGGGTGCCATTTTCTTTCAAACCATCACAATGCATGTACCACAGCATGTGGACACAAGTCAGAGGACAACTCTATTGTTGTTGGTGGTGTTTGGCTCTTTTAGGGGGGCCCACCACCCAGCTCCCAAATAAATCACTCATTGAGGCTTATTCTTACTTATGAATACCTGGCTTTAGCTTGGCTTATTTCTTGCCAGCTTTTCTTAACTTATCCTGTCTACCTTTTGCCTCTGGCCTTTTCCTGTTCTCTTACTTCTGTAAATCTTTTTTTTTTTTTTTTTTTTTTTTTTTTTTTTTTGGTTTTTCGAGACAGGGTTTCTCTGTGTAGCTTTGCACCTTTCCTGGATCTCGCTCAGTAGACCAGGCTGGCCTGGAACTCACAGAGATCCACCTGCCTCTGCCTCCCAAATGCTGGGATTAAAGGCGTGCGCCACCACCACCCGGCTGCTTCTGTAAATCTTTTTTTTTTTTTTTAACATTTATTTATTTATTATGTATACAGTATGCCTGCATGTGTCCCTGCAGGCCAGAAGAGGATACCAGATCTCATTACAAGTGGTTGGGAGCCACCATGTGGTTGCTGGGAATTGAACTCAGGACCTCTGGAAGAACAGTCGGTGCTCTTAACCACTGAGCCATCTCTCCAGCCCTACTTCTGTAAATCTTACTCTTACTCTGTGGCTTGCTGTATAGCTGGGTGGCTGGCCCCTGGAGTCCTCCTCCTCTGGCTGCTAGACCTTAGATCTCTCCTCCCAGTTTTCTCCTCTATATTCTCTCTGCCTGCCAGCCCCACCTATCCTTTCTCCTGCCTTGCTATTGGCCGTTCAGCTCTTTATTAGACCATCGGGTGTTTTAGACAGGCAAAGTAACACAGCTTCACAGAGTTAAACAAATGCATCATAAACAAAAGTAACACACCTTAAACTATTCTGCTACACTCCATGGACTCAGTTTCCCCCTTTCTTCTTTACATGGGTCCTCAGGGTCAAACTCAGGTCACCAGGATTACAAGCCAAGCACCTTTACCCACTAAACCATCTTTCCTACCACAATTATTTTAAAAGATTTATTTCTTTTTATTTTGTGTGTATATTTATTTTACCTGCATGTATGTATGTGCAATGTGTGCATGCAGCAGCTATAGACACTAGCAGAGGGTGCCAGACGCTCTGGAACTGGCATTACAGACAGTTATAAGCCACAGTGGGTGCTGGGAACTAGACCCAGGTCCTCTGCAAGAGCACTGTGTACTCTTAACTGCTGAGCCATGTCTCCAGCCCCACACCCACCCTAACGTTTAAATTATGTTTCTGACTTCTTTAATAAAGGATCATAAGGACGTTTCCTATTATTTAATTAATTAATTAATTACTTTTGGTTTTCCGAGACAGGGTTTCTCTGTGTAGCTTTGAGCCTTTTCTGGAACTCACTCTGTAGCCCAGGCTGGCCTTGAACTCACAGAGATCCACCTGCCTCTGCCTCCCGAGTGCTGGGATTAAAGGTGTGCGCCACCACCGCCCAGCTGACTTTTCCTATTCTTAATTGCCTTTTCTTTGTGAGGGGCTGAATTCAGGACCTTGTGCTTGCCAGACAAGGGCTTAAACACCTAGCTACATTTCTCTCCAGCCACTGTTTTGTTTTTAAATGTCTTTCAAGACAGAGTTTCACTGTGTTCCTGGAACTCACTTTGTAGACCAGGCTGGCCTTGAACTCACAGAGATCCGCCTGCCTCTGCCTCCTGAGTACTGGAATTAAAGGCATGCACCACCACTGCCGGGTGTGATTTTTCTTTTTATGGCCATTTTCTTATTTTGTAAAAGTTCCTTGTAAGTATATGGCTCAGTTGTTGAGCACTTGTCTAGCATGTATGTATCCCTGGGTCCAATTCTCAATACTGCAACAATAAAATAAAATGTAAAAATCCTTTTCCCACAGAAATAAATGCAAAATAGTAGAGGAGGCCATACAGATAAGAATTTCTCTCCATAGTTAATCAACAGATAAGGGTTTAGAGTATGGCCTGGTTCAAATCCCAACTGGGCCATTGTCTGAATTTCCCTCACTTAGCAAATGTTTCTTGTCCCAGGCCTCGCTCCTCACAAAGTGCCTTCTCTAAGCATCTCTAGAAAGTATCTACAGGAGGGAGCTGGAGAGATGGCTCAGCGGTTAAGAACATGAGCTGTTCTTCCAGAGGTCCCAAGTTCAATTCCCAGCACCCACATGGTAGAACCATCCATAATGAGATCAGGCATACATGCAGACAGAACACTGTATACATAATAAATAAATAAAATCTAAAAAAAAAAAAAAGAAAGAAAGAAAAGAAAAAAAAAAGAAAGTATCTACAGGAGACACCCACTCCCCCATCCTGGGAACTAAACTTAGGTACTCCCACATGCTGGGCAAGCACATAACCACTGAGCTATATTCCCAGTTGCATCAGTTTTAAATATTTTTGTTTCTGTAGTCTTCCTTTTTCTTCGTGGTTAAAGGTACATACATAGCATACGTATTTACAAATATAGTCATTTCAGTGTGGTGTGGAGGTATTAGTTCCTTCATCTTGTGCAGCTCTCAGAAGACCCATAAGGAGTCCTTCTCTGTCCCACCAGCTCCCAAATATCGACACGGAGATTTCTTATTAATTATGAAAGAAAGCTCGGCCTATAGCTTAGGTTTGTTCCTAACTAGCTCTTATAACTTAAATTAACCCATTTATATTAATCTATGTTCTGCCATGTGGCTCATGGCTGTTACCTCTTCTTCTGCACATCCTGCTTGCTCTGCATCTCCTGGCATTTCCTCTTCCCAGAGTCCTCTCTGTCCCCGAAGTACCGCCTATAACTCTGGCCTAGCTATTGGCCATAGCTCTTTATTACATCAACCATAGCAATGCATCTTCACCCAGTGTACAGATATCCCACAACAGCATCCCTCAGAGTTTTTTCATCTCTGCAACATAAACTCCCTGCCTCTCAAACGTGTTGGTCTTAAGACTCCTTTAGAGGTGGCTGGAGAGAGACAGTTCAGCCATTGAGAGCACTGGCTGCTCTTCTAGAGGACCCAGGTTTGATTCTCAGCATCCACATGGTAGCTCACAACTATCTGTAATTCGAGTTCTAGGGGATTTGATGCCCTCTTCTGGACTGCTTGGGTACTACATGAACATGGTACATAGACATACATGTAAGCAGAACACCCATACACATACATTTTTTTTAAAGATTTATTTATTTATTATGTATACAGTGAGTGTTCAGCCTGCAGGCCAGAAGAGGGCGCCAGATCTCATTACAGGTGGTTGTGAGCCACCATGTGGTTGCTGGGAATTGAACTCAGTACCTCTGGAAGAACAGCCAGTGCTCTTAACCACTGAGCCATCTCTCTAGACCCATCTCAATACTTTTTATGGGTATAAAGAAGTCTTTAAAAAATTTTATGAACCCTTCTAGAGGACCTGGGTTCAACTCCAAGCACCCATTTAGCACCTCACAACTGTCTATAACTCTAGTTCCAAGGGGGCCTGATACCCTCTTCTCGTCTCCCTGGGTACCAGGCACAAATGTGGCACACATACATACATGCATACAAAACATCCATACACATAAAGAAGTAATTTAAAAAATGTATTGAGGGAACCCAAATGGGAATCATGCTAGAAATAAAAATTAAGAAAAATTTTAAGCAATATTTACAAGTAAAACATGTTCTCCTCCCTTTCAGACAAACCAGTGTGTCTGGCATGGTACCCTGCACCTGCAATTCCAACGTGTGAGAGGCTGAGGCAGGAGAATTACAGTGACCTCAAGGCCAGCCTAGTCTACATGGCCAGTTTTCAGCAGCCGGGGCTACATAGTGAGACTGTCTCCAAAAAAAAGAAAAAAGTCAACAAATGTAAATATTTTTAATATTTGCAGTTACATTTTCGAAATTGTGTCTTCCAAAACAAACAAAAACTAGTGAGAAAATCGAAGATGTGTTTAGCAGCAAGGCCGGGACAGAACCCAGAGCATCGCACAGGCTAGCCAAGTGCTCTACCACTGAGCCACACTGTTTGCCCTTTAATTTTTAGCCAATCTTTTTGCTATGGAGCTTACTAGAATATATACGGTTAGATTTTTGTATTTCTTCTTGCATGGGCCTCCTGTCCTGTTACGCGTCATGCAGCCTCTGAAAATGCCATTGACTTTTACTCACTCAGAATGGGCGAGTAAAGAGTCTTAGCACTGTTTTTAAAATGGCTCTGATCTTGTAGGGGTGAGGCAGTAGTTTCTTGTCAGCCTGCACCAGGGTCATGACTTTACACGCCTATAAGCAAAGACAGGTATGCCAGAGAAAAGCGTAACAATTCCAAGTGAAGCTTCAGGTGACCCAGGAGCCCTTGCAAGGTGAAGAGCCAGAGAGACCGGGAAAGCTGTGTGGCCCTATGGACAGTCACAGGACCATGACTGGACGACAGGAGGGTGAGTGATTGACTGGCCATACACTGGGGGCGGGGTTTAGCAAGGCTTGCTCACTGGGCTTCTTGGTGTCTCTGGGGGTAGGGCCGGGAGAGATGACCTTCCCAGGTTTTGCTGTTTTTTTCAAATGCCAAGGTGCCACATTCTAGGGTAGTGTTTCTGAGTACATTTCTTTAAAAGGTCTCTAGGACCCAGTGAGCAAAAGACCAGCATGCCCTTGGGGAATTTACTGGCTAGAGACTGAGCCTCCAGTCTGGGAGGGCTCTCTGTGATGGACACTTGTGCACCCCGGGTCTCCTTGATACGCCACACTATTTGAGGAAGGCTGTGGTAATAGACTCCTCGGTGAATAGTTTTTCTCTGCAGGTAGAACAAACGGAGTCACAGCACAGAGGCTCCTGGAAGAGCTAGAGT